ATTGTTGCTTGTTTCAATAAATTAAATCTGATTGGGCTAAAAATGCGTTACGTAATGAAACCAGTGCGGTAATGAACTTCATTACGTAACTCAAATCACCTCAAATGAGTGTGGTAATGATGACTTATCCAAGCAGTCGTAGATAAAAACCCTTTATTTGGCATTTGTCAACAGTGTGTTATGGTATATTTTTACACCAGTGTTATGGTGTATCGTGATGATGTTGAAGCTATTCAGCGACGTTTTGTACGTTATTTGATACATAAATTTCATCTTCCTTATTAATTGGCTCTGCAGCAACATTGAGTTGTTTCTGACTTAATCTTCCTTTTCAAGCTTGTTAATAGCATGCTTATGAGGATGTTTTGTTGGGATATTCTCCCTGTATGCATCCCGAATATGTTACAATAAATAAATAAATGTTACAATCGGATCAATCTCAGAATAGTATATTAAAAAACAAGTTTCGTAAAACACGCTTGAAATGCATGAATAAGTCTTAAGTCTTTAAGTCTTATGAAACGTGTTTTTTATGCTATTTTTTGTAATTCGCGTTTTTATCCTTTTTTTTAACAAAAATAAAATAAATTTTGACAATGTAGGGAAATAGGTATGCAGCAGTTGGTAACACCGTAACACTTGAAAATAGAACTTTTGAATTGATAATTAGAAACTGTCAAAACACAAAATGTATTCACCTGAAAAAAAGTTTCATGTACACCTTCCAAAATAAGAGAAATTGCTTAATGTCCTCATCATTGTGGACCTTGTATTCGATGCTAAGAACGTGTTTAAACATCCATAGTCAAAAATTGTCACATTGACAACTAGAAAAATTAATGACTCAATGTCACCAACTTGAACTGGTTCCATAAAATGTTACTAAAATCTCATTACAGCATCGGATGCTGTAAGGAATTTCATTACAGCACCCGTTGGAGTGCTGTTAAAGCTTTCGTTACCGTCGCGAATTACAAAAAAATATTTTTAAATGATTGTTGACAATTTTAAATTAATGTCAGTTTCAATAACATGTTTGTGCACGACTACCTTATAATATATACCTTATGAGTGAGTTTTCTAAAACAAAAGGGTAGTCATTTTTCACGGAGTGAATAATAGCGGTGAATAATAATCATAATTCACGGGCATTCACGGGTAACCAACTTGACAGACTAATAATAATTATTTGAAACGTTAAAATTTCAAAAAATGTAATTTAATTCAATTTTTTAGGAGTTTCTAAAAGTTTGACATTAAAAAATCCTAAACAAATTTCTTTTTTCGTATGATTTAAGCATAAATTAATTAATTTTAGTAAAGAAAACGACGTTTTATAAAATTAACATTTAATTTTGACAAATTGTTGTGAAGTTGGTTACAGTTAGTAATATTGAATTTGTGTCACATTGACGTTTAAACTTTATTCAAAAATTTATTTAAAAAATAAATTTATGGAATCAATTTCAATAGTCGTAGACAAAGTATAGTATTTTACTCGCATATAATGTGTTAATTATGCCACTCGCTACGCTCGTTTTATAAAATTGACATTTAATTTTGACAAATTGTTGTGAAGTTAGTTACAGTTAGTAATACTGAATTTGTGTCACATTGACGTTTAAACTTTATTCTAAAATTTATTTAAAAAATAAATTTATGGAATCAATTTCAATAGTCGTGGACAAAGTATAGTATTTTACTCGCATATAATGTGTTAATTATACCACTCGCTACGCTCGTGACATTATATACTCATAATAATATACTATTACTCATCTGGAATATGTGTTCCGAAATGTAAAAACATAACAATTAATGTTTATAATAAATAGTATTGTTTCTCTTCTTCTGTATTGTTGCTTGTTTCAATAAATTAAATCTGATTGGGCTAAAAATGCGTTACGTAATGAAACCAGTGCGGTAATGAACTTCATTACGTAACTCAAATCACCTCAAATGAGTGTGGTAATGATNGTTAGTCTAGTTTTATTTGTTATTCAGCGCTAGATAGTTGTATATTTTTATTGAGCTATAACGGACACTAGACTTTTTTGTTAGGACTGTATGTAGACTTTTTTGAGTTAAAGATATGATTATGTTTTGTGTTCTCCTTGATTAATAATAACTTATATAGTTTTTATATAAAATATGGAAATAATATGGACATCGGACATGGATATCGGGAGCTGAGATATTATCATTTTCCGGGCTGTACGTAGACTTTATTGTATCACTGTATGACAAATGCCAAAAAATTACATTGACTTGGAAACTTTCTTTACAACTTTAATGGTACTGCTATCCGGTCCACGGATAAAGTAAACGATCTTGGCATCATATTGGATTTCAAATTGCGATTTCATCACAATATTAAATTTATGGTAAAGAAATTTCTACGTAATTTGGGGTTTGTTGTCAGAATCATTAAGAACTTTTTATATAATATACTTTAATAGTTATTTATATTACAGTTCTAAGTCGTGCAATTCTCCACACTCGTGCAGTAATTATGCTCTAGCCCACGTGTGATATACAACATTTTATCTACGACTGCTAAAATTTACTTAAAAATCAAGTTCTTTAAAAAGATCTATTTTGACATTTATAAAAATATTTTGAAATGATTGTTGACAATTTTGAATTAATGTCAGTTTAAATAACATATTTACTCATCTGGCATAAGTGTTTCGAAATGTAAAAATATAACAATTAATGTTTATAATAAATAGTATTGTTTCTCTTTAAATAAGTAGCACTTTTTCTTTTGTATTGTTGCTCGTTTCAATAAATTAAATCTGTTCTGATTGGGCTAAAAATGCGTTACGTAATGAAACCAGTGCGGTAATGAACTTCATTACGTAACTCAAATGAGTGCGGTAATGATGACTTATCCAAGCAGTCGTAGATAAAAACCCTTTATTTGGCATTTGTTAACAGTGTGTTATGTTATGGTTCCGTAACATTTTTTAATTGTCTCTGCAGCAACATTGAGTTGTTTCTGACTTAATCTTCCTTTTCAAGCTTGTTAATGGCATGCTCATGAGGCTTATGCATCCCGAATATGTAATAAATAAATGTTACAATCTCGGAAAATAAGTTTGCTTCACAAATTGGGTTGTGGCAGAAAATCTAAAAGTTTGTAAAATAGTTTTGGAATATACTGGAAATTGTATTCATATGGAAATGTTAAATATAACCGTTAACTGTGGTCAAACGAACAATAGGAATGTCGTACGAATGTTTGAATCAGAAAGGGGGAGTTTGAGAATTTGTATAATAGTGGCGCATAGGAGGAAGGTGCAGATGTAGTTATTGTTGCCGGTGCGCTTGTTAATTTATGGCGGTGGCCCAAATTAAATTCCGTTTCCTTTGAATTTAGGCCCGGGTCCGGACCGGCAACAATAGGCAAATTCCGCGCTGTTCGGCTGATTTATCGACAATTACCGAATAGTTTTCTTTCGGCGACGTCGACCCGAATACAATGCGCGAATGCTTCCCATTCAGAAGTTCGCGAATCGAAGGAACAATGGGGGACGAAATACGAACCTGATTGTTTAGCGAGTGCGGGCCCCGCGTTCCTTCTCGACCCGGCGCATTCCCCCTTTTCTCGCAGACGAAATAAACGTAACCAAAGTAACGTTACCGGCGACGTGATTTTCACGTTGCAAAATCTTTGTTTACGTTACGGAACGATTCGTGGGCGGCGACGTTTTTATCCCGATATTTAAAAATAGATCGACGCTCCTGTAAGAATACGAACAAGTGGGATCGAGAAATCGCTGAACAGGACAGGCACCGCTCTGTCTCCCAAAAGCTGTAATCCGCGGCATTAATAAGCTCATACTTTCTACGAATCCCGTTGATTATAGCCCATTAACGGCCATCGTTTATTGCGACGCGATATCGATTCAACTCCTAACTAACCTCGCGGAGTTGGCAAACTTACCCGATATTTTTTGGCAAACGATCATTCGCGTTTTGTGTACGGATCATTTATAATCGGTTTAAAACTATTTTTATCGTTTACTCAGCATTCAATATCAATCTTAAATTATTAATGAATCCGATCTGATCAAATCAAATTGAGTCTATTCCCTTCAAATTGATGAGAGCGAGCAGATGGCCGCCCCTCCTCAGCAGGATAATTTCACCCCAAATTGCTTGACCATCACGGGATCGAAAAGAGAAAACGAGGGATGGGAACATAATCAAGGAGACAATGAGGCGACTTCGCACAGTGGGGACAATGTTTGTTTGAGGATACGAGGAAGGGTCTCGTTCCTGCGGGACTTTTACTCCTATGATGATTTCGATAGATAGATATTTTGGCCGTTTCAAATTTATGTATTGGGTGCCGATCGATTTACGTCTCACCTAATTGGCCCGCGAGCCCGGTCTTCGATTTTATTTAGGGTCGGGCCAACTTTTGAAGGTGAATGCGCGGCTTTTCAATGTTTAGTTAAAAAAGATTTACCGTGTAAATATTTAAATGGGCACCGCTGGCTGTTTTCGATCAGCTTAGTGATCGTTTTACATAAATTCTTTGCACTATTTTTTTTTTTATTTTCATTTATTTCATAATCGGTTTTTTGCAAAATTTCGTTTTGGTCGAAATGGAATGAGAAATTATCCTAATGGTGGTGGTGAGGTGCAAGAAGGTTGCAACAACTCGGGATCCATCGCAAGGGGGCACTCACGAACGCATTTGAATAACTAAATATTTATGACTCGAAGCAAGTGGCGCTTTCCCTCCCCCTTTTAATGAAAAAGACCCCGAAAATGCGAAAAAGCGGCTTCGAGAGGACCACCAGTAAGAAACCCTACGCCTACGGTCGGTCTCGATCGATATCGCAAAATCGGCACTGGAAGAGTTCCGATCTTAATGAAAATCAATAAGGACACCAATTGGAGCCAAGGTTATGGTGAGACCATTGCATAATTTGAAATGGTTAAGTTAATTTTTTTTTTAAGAAGAGTTGAAATAAATTAGCACATACCTGAGGCGAGCCACAGCAAAGTGACCGTAGCCGCGAATAGGTAGCAGGCCATGTCCCTTCTTCGCGGCTTTCCACCCCGAAGTCACCCCGAAGAAATGATGAAGGAGCACCCCATCTTTCAGTACTGCGGAGCACTGCACACCTCGGCGACGCCGTCACGTTGTCACGCACATTACGACCGTGATGTATTGGTACAATGTCTTCGGCGGTTGATTTATGGCAAAGAAGTCTCCTCGATTTTGGTCGTCTTTAGTGGTGTCTTCTGATTTTATCGTTCAGGCCGCAGCCGAAGAACACCGTTGGTCCGTCCGCGCTCGAAATATGACCATTCGCCACTGAGCGGCGACCTCCGTCGTACGGCGACTGTATCAGTGTGCCCCTGCTATGACGACGCCGCGAGAGGGGGGCGCGCCGACGCCGACGACGCCCGCCGTCGCGACGCTACCAGGTGATTAACGCCGCCGGCTTTACAACTATTAAGATACGGACGTGGTGCAACCGTAACACACCGTCTAACTATTATCATATTGTTACCTCAACTTTAATTAACACCGATTTCTAAATAAATTTATTCAAATATTTTTAAATTTAACACAATTTTAATCATATTTGATTATCGCAAATGCATACGAATTATCGAGGTTGCTGACTTCCTCGGAAATCAATTAAAGAAGCAACATAAGCGAAAATCGCATGTATCACGTTTCCTTTTTCCCAGATTAAAACCGAGCGGAAATTATTTTATTTCACTTTAACTATACTCTATTTTTTAATTCGAAGGAGTATTTTTAAATTGAAGCGCCAAAAAGAAGGGTTGCTATTGGTCAGTTTTAAGCAGAAATTATACTAGGAAAATTCGAGATTTTGCCTAGAACTAGAAAATATTAGGTTTAGCCGTGCGTCTTCAGACGCAGTGTTAGTTCTAGTGATAGTGCAAGTGTAAAACTAGAACTAGTACTAAAACTAGAATTATTCGGGTTTAGCCGTCTTGAGAGACGTGCGGCTAAGCCCGAATGATTCTAGTTCTAGTTCTTGTGTTACTTCTAGTGATAGTGCTAGTGTAAAACTAGATCTAACACTAGACCTAGAACTAGAAATATCGGGTTTAGTCATGCGTCTTCAGACGCAGTGTTAGTTCTAGTGATAGTGCTAGTGTAAAACTAGAACTAGCACTAGAACTAGAATCATTCGGGTTTAGCCGTCTTGAGAGACGTGCGGCTAAACCCGAATGATTCTAGTTCTAGGTCTTGTGCTACTTCTAGTGATAGTGCTAGTGTAAAATTAGATCTAACACTAGACCTAGAACTAGAAATATCGGGTTTAGTCGTGCGCCTTCAGACGCAGTGTTAGTTCTAGTGATAGTGCTAGTGTAAAACTAGAACTAGCACTAGACCTAGAACTATAATCATTCGGGTTTAGTCGTCTTGAGAGACGTGCGGCTAAACCCGAATGATTCTAGTTCTAGATCTTGTATTACTTCTAGTGATAGTGCTAGTGTAAAACTAGAACCAACACTAGACCGAGATTTTCATACAGAAGAAATGAAAATTTTTGAGGTTATAAAGAGACCATTAAAGATAAGTTATACCAAATTATAAGCTTCCAGGATGACCACTTTATTTTATATTAATTTTTAAAAATCACCTATTTAATTTGACGTTTCTTAAAACTGAGGTTATACAAAAAAAATTATTTTCTCCAAAACGGTTTGGATTAAAGAAATGAAACTTTTTGAGGTTATAAAGAGACGATTAAAGTTAATTTATACCAAATTATAAGCTTCCAGGGCGACCACTTTATTTTATATTAATTTTTAAAAACCACCTATTTAATTTGACGTTTCTTAAAACTGAGGTTATGCAAAAAAATTATTTTCTCCAAAACAGTTTGCAAAAACTTGGCAAAACTTTTTGAGGTTATAAAGAGACGATTAAAGTTAAGTTATACCAAATTATAACCTTCCAGGATGACAACTTTATTTTATATTAATTTTTAAAAATCACCTATTTAATTTGACGTTTCTTAGAACAGAGGTTATGTAAAAAAATTATTTTCTCCAAAACGGTTTAGATTAAAGAAATGAAACTTTTTGAGGTTATAAAGAGGCGATTAAAGATAAGTTATACCAAATAATAAACTTCCAGGGTGACCACTTTATTTTATATCAATTTTTAAAAATCACCTATTTAATTTGACGTTTCTTAAAACTTAGGTTATGCAAAAAATTTATTTTCTCCAAAATGATTTGGATTGAAGAAATGAAACTTTATGAGGTTATAAAGAGACGATTAAAGTTAATTTATACCAAATTATAAGCTTCCAGGATGACCTCTTTATTTTATATTAATTTTTAAAAATTACCTATTTAATTTGACGTTTCTTAAAACTGAAGTTATGCAAAAAAATTATTTTCTCCAAAACGGTTTGGATTAAAGAAATGAAACTTTACGAGGTTATAAAGAGACGATTAAAGTTTAGTTATACCAAATTATAACCTTCCAGGATGACCACTTTATTGTATACAAATTTTTTAAAATCACCTATATATTTAATATGACGAAATAAAGTTCTAGGTCTTGTGTTAGTTCTAGTGATAGTGCTAGTTTAGCCGCACGTCTCTCAAGACGGCTAAATCCGAATAATTCTAGTTCTAAGTCTTGTGTTAGTTCTAGTTTTAGTTGAATAAAAATATACGACATAGTGATATTTTAACAACAAATCCATTATATCGAGGTTTCAGTGTAATGTCAAATTATATTGACATGTTGCATTTTATGTGGAACAAAATAAGTAGGTTTTTATTATGTTGAAACAAATAAGTAATTAAATTTTGTAACTACAGTTTACCTAAAATTCTCTCTAGAGTATAATATCTAAACAATTACAAATTAAATTTTTTTAATTAACTTAGATCCAACGAACTAAAAGAGACACGTGACAAAGAAAATGTCAGGTGTGGTTGTAAAAGAACAACTTAAAACCGCCAGTTGGTTAATTTGGTGTTCATTCTAGAGAATCCAGAGGGTGACATACCATATTATCGTTCAATATGGTCGGATTAAAGTCTTCAAATTGAAATTGAAACTTCTCAAGTTACGATGGGGATAATTTCGACCACATGGTGAATTTTTCAAAACTTCTTGCGGTGTCCATACAGTATCGCGAATTGAACGGATGAAATTCGTTCCGTAAGAGTTAACTTGGTTCTTGGTCGAGTGATTCTGAACACCTGCCCACCAACAATTGCGTATGGGGATAACACACATGGACATGTCGAATTTAGAATAAAAATTTAAAACTTTGTATTAAAATTTGTAATGATTTTCAATTTTATGAAGAGTATTCGTGCAGAACGTTACATAAGACCCTCTAAATATAGTAGTTTAAATCAATATATGGTACAAAATTCCGTTGCCTCTAGAAAATCGTTACTGTTGTCGACGTCTTGCGATGCTCCCATCGTCGCAAGTTCTAAAAACATTTGCGATATCTTAAACACCATCATTCACGATAGGTATTCTAATGATAGTTGAATGATATTAAGTGTTAAATGTCGGAGGTGTATTAGATCAAAGAACGAGAATTTACACTTATCAATTTTGTTGTTTTTCTCTTTAAGAACCGAATTGGTCTCTCGATAAAAGTCGTTTGTTTGTACTCGTCAAATCCGTGTATTTGCACATGACGATCTATTACGATCGTTTGTAAAACGTCTCGTGGTTTGGGCCCAACCACTCGATTAATGCGGATCTTCGAACAAACCGCTTTCTTCAAACAAGAAAACAGGCTCGACATTTAGTTTGGGGGGCCGGTGTTTGTATCGAACGGCGATGACGATCGTATAATGCGGAAATGGGGACCCTAAATGACTGGAAAATTCTGGGGCGGTGATGAATTATGACCCGCCAAGAACAGAATTCTCGTCTATTTCGATTTAATTGTATGCAAAGTTCACTTTTAAGGTTTAAAATAAATTTTAAGATAAAGGGACGAAGTTGAATGATATCAGGAATGATGTTGAGACGTACTAGAGGTATTTTTTAGAGATGTCTGGGAGGATGTTGAGAGATGATTGGAAACATATCAAGAATGATAATTATAAAGAATTATCAGGGATAATATGGAAAGGGGCTGATTTTAGAAGATATTAAGGACGATGTTGAGAGTTAAAAAACTGTTTCCTTTAAAAATTGTCAGGATTTAAGAAGTAAAATTTTAACTTAAAGTAATTTAGAAACTTCCAGAGCGACCACTTTATTTTATATTAATTTTAAAAAATCACCTATTTAATTTGACGTTTTTAAAATTGAAGTTATGCAAAAAAATTGTTTTCTCCAAAACGGTTTGGATTGAAGAAATGAAACTCTTTGAAGTTATAAAGAGATGATTAAAGTTAACTTATACCAAGTTATAAGCTTCCAGGATTACCACTGTATTTTATATTCATTTTTAAAAATCACCTATTTAATTTGAAGTTTCTTAAAACTGAGGTTATGTCAAAAAATTATTATCTCCAAAACGGTTTGGATTGAAGAAATGAAACATTGTGAGGTTATAAACTGACGATTAAAGTTATGTTATACCAAATTATAAGCTTCCAGGACGACCACTTTTTTTTATATTAATTTTTAAAAATTACTTATTAAATTTGACGTTTCTTAAAACTGAGGTTATGCAAAAATATTATTTTCTCCAAAACCGTTTGGATTGAAGAAATGAAACTTTTTGAGGTTATAAAGAGACGATTAAAGATAAGTTATACCAAATCATAAGCTTTCAAAATGACCACTTTATTTTATATTAATTTTAAAAAATCACCTATTTAATTTGACGTTTCTTAGAACAGAGGTTATGCAAAAAAATTATTTTCTCCAAAGCGGTTTGGATTAAAGAAATGAAACTGTTTGAGGTTATAAAGAGACGATTAAAGTTAATTTATGCCAAATTATAAGCTTCCAGGTTGACCACTTTATTTTATATTAATTTTTAAAAATCACCTCTTCAATTTTACGTTACTTAAAACTGAGGATAAGTAAAAAAATTATTTTCTCCAAAGCGGTTTGGATTGAAGAAATGAAACTTTTTGAGATTATAAAGAGACGATCAAAGATAAGTTATACCAAATTATAAACTTCCAGGGTGACCACTTTATTTTATATTAATTTTTTAAAATCACCTATTAAATTTGACGTTTCTTAAAACTGAGGTTATGCAAAAAAAATTATTATCTCCAAAACGGTTTGGATTGAAGAAATGAAACTTTTTGAGGTTATAAAGAGACGATCAAAGATAAGTTGTACCAAATTATAAACTTCCAGGGTGACCACTTTATTTTATATTAATTTTTTAAAATCACCTATTAAATTTGACGTTTCTTAAAACTGAGGTTATGCAAAAAAAATTATTATCTCCAAAACGGTTTGGATTGAAGAAATGAAACTTTTTGAGGTTATAAAGAGACGATCAAAGATAAGTTGTACCAAATTATAAACTTCCAGGGTGACCACTTTATTTTATATTAATTTTTTAAAATCACCTATTAAATTTGACGTTTCTTAAAACTGAGGTTATGCAAAAAAAATTATTATCTCCAAAACGGTTTGGATTGAAGAAATGAAACTTTTTGAGGTTATAAAGAGACGATCAAAGATAAGTTGTACCAAATTATAAACTTCCAGGGTGACCACTTTATTTTATATTAATTTTTTAAAATCACCTATTAAATTTGACGTTTCTTAAAACTGAGGTTATGCAAAAAAAATTATTATCTCCAAAACGGTTTGGATTGAAGAAATGAAACTTTTTGAGGTTATAAAGAGACGATCAAAGATAAGTTGTACCAAATTATAAACTTCCAGGGTGACCACTTTATTTTATATTAATTTTTTAAAATCACCTATTAAATTTGACGTTTCTTAAAACTGAGGTTATGCAAAAAAAATTATTATCTCCAAAACGGTTTGGATTGAAGAAATGAAACTTTTTGAGGTTATAAAGAGACGATCAAAGATAAGTTGTACCAAATTATAAACTTCCAGGGTGACCACTTTATTTTATATTAATTTTTTAAAATCACCTATTAAATTTGACGTTTCTTAAAACTGAGGTTATGCAAAAAAAATTATTATCTCCAAAACGGTTTGGATTGAAGAAATGAAACTTTTTGAGGTTATAAAGAGACGATCAAAGATAAGTTGTACCAAATTATAAACTTCCAGGGTGACCACTTTATTTTATATTAATTTTTTAAAATCACCTATTAAATTTGACGTTTCTTAAAACTGAGGTTATGCAAAAAAAATTATTATCTCCAAAACGGTTTGGATTGAAGAAATGAAACTTTTTGAGGTTATAAAGAGACGATTAAAGATAAGTTATACCAAATCATAAGCTTTCAAAATGACCACTTTATTTTATATTAATTTAAAAAAATCACCTATTTAATTTGACGTTTCTTAGAACAGAGGTTATGCAAAAAAATTATTTTCTCCAAAGCGGTTTGGATTAAAGAAATGAAACTGTTTGAGGTTATAAAGAGACGATTAAAGTTAATTTATGCCAAATTATAAGCTTCCAGGTTGACCACTTTATTTTATATTAATTTTTAAAAATCATCTCTTCAATTTGACGTTTCTTAAAACTGAGGATAAGTAAAAAAATTATTTTCTCCAAAGCGGTTTGGATTGAAGAAATGAAACTTTTTGAGGTTATAAAGAGACGATCAAAGATAAGTTATACCAAATTATAAACTTCCAGGGTGACCACTTTATTTTATATTAATTTTTTAAAATCACCTATTAAATTTGACGTTTCTTAAAACTGAGGTTATGCAAAAAAAATTATTATCTCCAAAACGGTTTGGATTGAAGAATTGAAACTTTTCGAGGTTATAAAGAGATGATTAAAGATAAGTTATACCAAATTACAAGCTTCCAGGGCGAACACTTTATTTTATATTAATTTTTAAAAACCACCTATTAAATTTGACGTTTCTTAAAACTGAGGTTATGCAAAAAAAATTATTATCTCCAAAACGGTTTAGATTGAAGAAATGAAACTTTTTAAGCTTATGAAGAGACGATTAAAGTTAATTTATACCAAATTATAAGCTTACAGGATGACCACTTTATTTTATATTAATTTTTAAAAAACACCTATTTAATTTGACGTTTCTTAAAACTGAGGTTATGCAAAAAAAATTATTTTCTCCAAAACGGCTTGGATTAAAGAAATGAAACTTTTTGAGGTTATAAAGAGACGATTAAAGTTAATTTATGCCAAATTATAAGCTTCCAGGGCGATCACTTTATTTTATATTAATTTTTAAATATCACCTATTTAATTTGACGTTTCTTAAAACTGAGGTTATGTAAAAAAATTATTTTCTCCAAAACGGCTTGTATTAAAGAAATGAAACTTTTTGAGGTTATAAAGGGACGATTAAAGTTAATTTATGCCAAATTATAAGCTTCCAGGGCGATCACTTTATTTTATATTAATTTTTAAAAATCACCTATTTAATTTGACGTTTCTTAAAACTGAGGTTATGCAAAAAAATTATTTTCTCCAAAACGGTTTGGATTGAAGAAATGAAACTTTTTGAGGTTATAAAGGAACGTTTGACGTTAATGTATAACCAATTATAACGTTTCAGATTAAACACTTTATTTTATATAATTTTTTTAAAATCGCCTATGAAATTTAAGGCTGCCCTATCTCCCCTAGCTTCCCCATCCCAAATATGCTGCCATATCTCTAACGTCTGTTGTACGTTTATGAACCTCAATCACTGCCAATACAGACATCACTCAGTACGCCCAGATTATGCATCTTCTTTGCGTCAAAATAAATGNCGGTTTGGATTGAAGAAATGAAACTTTTTGAGGTTATAAAGAGACGATTAAAGATAAGTTATACCAAATCATAAGCTTTCAAAATGACCACTTTATTTTATATTAATTTTAAAAAATCACCTATTTAATTTGACGTTTCTTAGAACAGAAGTTATGCAAAAAAATTATTTTCTCCAAAGCGGTTTGGATTAAAGAAATGAAACTGTTTGAGGTTATAAAGAGACGATTAAAGTTAATTTACGCCAAATTATAAGCTTCCAGGGTGACCACTTTATTTTATATTAATTTTTTAAAATAACCTATTAAATTTGACGTTTCTTAAAACTGAGGTTATGCAAAAAAATTATTATCTCCAAAACGGTTTGGATTGAAGAATTGAAACTTTTTGAGGTTATAAAGGAACGGTTGACGATCATTTATAACCAATTATAACGTTTCAAATCAAACACTTTATTTTATATAAATTTTTAAAAATCGCCTATTTAATTTAAGGCTGCCCTATCTACCCTAGCTTCCCCATCCCAACTATGCAGCCATATCTCTAACGTCTGTTGTACGTTTATGAACCTCAATCACTGCCAATACAGACATCACTCAGTACGCCCAGATTATGCATCTTCTTTGCGTCAAAATAAATGTCAAAATGTTACTTATTATGAGTTAGCATCAACCTTATGGAGTCCGCGACATCCATAAATAACTTTCATTTAGATGTGCTCCATTCGCCTACATTTACCATGATAAGATTGAACATGGTGTTTTTTTTCTTTGTTATTGTATCACCTCAAGTGTTTTAGACAAATTTTGAGCACAACTTGAGTTTGTTCTGCCGTTAAGGATCTTTCGTCAAATTAAGTCATATATCTCTGGGCTTAAGTTGCACGAAGCCTATGAGCAAACTTTTTTTTGGCATATCCAGATTTCTGGACATCATTTCATTACTTTTTAATCCTTTCAAATTACTAAAATGTATTATGTGTCCATAATGGACAATTGAGTTGATTTTTTGTGATAAAATCTGTTATCACTTAACACATATTTTATATTTCTTTACATGAAACGATTTCACTTTCTATCTTTCCAACTTAATATAGTCATAAAACGACCATTAAGGGTCTTAATATAACTTTCAGTGGAGAATCAATTTCCCTTTTTGAGTATTGAATTTTCTGAAAAGGATCTTTACGTCGATCTAGATGCAATAATCAAGTTTATTACCCACAATAATGAAATTTTATACACAAAAAGAGGGGTCGTCTTAACGATAGCCATAAATTTTTTTCTAATATAAAACATTTTCGTCGAGAATCGTATGATCTTAATGTAATTAAATCATGTTACGCAATAATTTTATAGAATGACCGGCACCAGCTTGGTGTGCAAAATTTCTGCCTATTCGGGACGGTCTTGTGTTACAGAGCATTGCTCTTGAATTCTTTTCAATTTAACTTCCGGCGGAATCTCTTTGCTGTTATAATTCAAATTAAAAATAGAAATAAATTACGCTTGATCGTGAACCGAAAGAAATTCCTTTCTTGTTAGCATAAAAGGGGCCCGTCAAGTTTATAGAGGCCTTGGCCACAATGTCACCAATAAACAGAGCCATTTATCAGCAGAATTGATTGGTATCAATCCGAATAGAATCCTTTATAAATTGAATTCGCGAGCCGACAAACATTCGCGAGAATATTAATTCACGAGCCGCTTCTTCGAAGACACAAAAAGAAAACAAATTACGATTAATTTAAAACTCTTTATGTTACTTGGAACAGTTTATGTTTCGTCGTAGGTGGTAAATTACTTTTAAAGTGTTATTTTTGAAATTAAAAATATTTATTATCGCCATCTATGAGTCAAGATCTTATTTATTACTTTTAAAGCTTCGTTATAGAGGTCGCTTTTAATTCAATTAAAATAATTAAAAATAATTAAAAATAGAAGGGAATTATTTAATTTAAAGAGAATTTTTATATAAAAAAATTAATTTAGCATCAAAATCCAAATAAAAGCATATAAAATCAATTTTTTTTTAAGATATAATCGAAGTTAACCTCAAAAATAAACATAACCTAACTAAGTCAACATAAAATTTTGTTTTGGGTGCTTTGAATCGGATTTTAAGCTCGAATATGTCGAATTTAAAAGCGGGCGGGCAATCGGGTCGAAAAAAAGTCCAGGTAGATAATTTAATTAATCTATAATGTATTATTTTATTCAATGATTTTTTAAAAATAGGTATCTATGGTCATTTGTGATGTGGAAGAACGAAGACATAGATCAGGGGTAAACGCTTTACAATTCGATCCTATGTTAAATAGGCTTTATTCCGCAGGACGAGACTCTTTAATACGAGTTCATGAACATGAAAGATATCTACAAAGTATGGAACATCACACCGATTGGGTTAATGATATTGTTTTGTGTTGTGGAGGTAGAAATTGTAAGTAAAATGGGTTGAATTAAGAATGAAATTAAAAAAAAAACTTTTTGTAGTAATTTCAGCAAGTTCTGATACAACAGTGAAAGTTTGGAATGCCCATAAAGGTTTTTGTATGTCAACTCTTCGCACTCATCGAGATTACGTCAAAGCATTAGCTTATGCTAAAGATCGAGAACAAGTAGCATCAGCTGGTTTGGATAAATCAATTTATTTATGGGATGTTAACACATTAACTGCATTAACCGCCAGTAACAACACAGTCACAAGTATGTTTTTATACAAAAAAAGTATCAAAAAATAATTTGGATAATTAGCTTCCAGTTTAAGTGGGAATAAGGAATCAATATACAGTTTAGCAATGAACCCACCAGGAACAATAATCGTTTGTGGGTCCACTGAAAGAGCATTGAGACTTTGGGATCCAAGACAATGCGCCAAATTGTGCAAATTAAAAGGACACACAGATAATGTTAAAGCTTTGGTTGTTTCAAATGATGGGAAATATTGCATTTCGGGGAGTAGTGATGGAACTATTCGAGTTTGGAATTTAGGTGCTCAAAGGTTAATTAAAAAAAAATTACACCTCAAAAATGGTAGAATCTAAACTGCTATATCCTTTAACCTAGAAGATCTATTGTAATTTTAACCCTCCAAAAGTTTAGGGCAAATGTAGGAACCTTAGTATTGCTCCAAAGTCTTATTCCTTTATATCAGTAGGTGTCAAAAGAGCTTTACTGAAAATTTTTAAAGTTTGCCGCCATTTTGGCTCGAAAATCAAGCGGGAAATTTAAAACTATGTCGTTCTATAAATAACATTACGCCAAAACTCCTTTCTTTTTTCTCGTGGTACTCTTAAGAGTCGAAAGCCCTTCTTACTGCTATTGTTGCAACTCCAAAGGCAACAAGACGGCAATATTTTTGTAAATAAGTGGTGAGATGCGGTGACAAGTTGTCCAACCGCCATTTTGGCTCGAAAAGAGGCGTCATGAACTTGAAGAGGCGGTACTTTTTAAAAATTTTGTGTTTTAGGCGGCCACTGGCGACGCAATTACACAGTATATGTTCAGCAGTTTCTAATTCGTCGTTGCAAAGTCGACAAGTTTGATCCTCAGCTTGTCCAATGTGGAAGTGGTGGAAGAATTTCCTTTGCTAAGGCATAAAACCTCTTTGGTTTTGTTTTGCGATGGAGTTATCATGCTCTTATCTAGTCTGTGACCTGGAAGTTCTTTCCAGCCAAGGTTTAGAACTTCTTTTAGGTGTGTTTTTTGTAGTCCACAACCCAGTTGGGGTCCAAAGTGTTTTCTGAACGACTTGGAACCTACCATAGAGCAACACCATTGCCCCTAGCGAGTTCTCTCAGGTTGCTGGTACACATGTAGGCCTGAACACAGTTTTTTTATTGGTTTATTCGGTAGTTTAGCAAAATTACAAACTTCTATAATTTTTTATTTTTCAAACTGGACTTTAGTTTACACGTTTGTGTCTTCTTGATCTTACGCGAAAACTTCGTAAACGTCACCAATGCTTTTATAGAGGGGATTTTGAATTTTAATATTAATTATTACAAAAATTAAACAATTTTAGGTTCTGAAAAAGTTACCAATTCTTCTATTTTTACATAGTTTATCGATTTTTTTGAAAGGCGGTCTTTCTATTCGATTGAGGGTAACAGCCCCATTGCCCTTAAGGCGGCCCGACTGTCTAAAAATGTTTATGGATGCACCTTTCTGTCCTTTTTGTAGATTCAAAGCGGTGCAGAAATTTATAGCAAGTACTTCTGCTTGAAAAATTGTTATGTCTGAGCTGAGGGGCAATTTAATGCAGCTATTTGGTCCACTAATTGGTCTTTGAAGCATCCATGTACCAGGCAAGGGTTCCTCTTTTTAGTTGAGGTCCAATCATTCCTGCCTCTAAATGTAACCTTATACGGCTGGTAGAAATTTGTATTCTGTCGGTATAAGGTCCGTTTTAATTTCAATCAAGTGATTTAGACATGGATCCTTGAGGATTTCGAGGTATCCTCTGAGGTTATCCTACATCAGCTTGAGTGAAGAGCATGTTTTCAGTGATAAGGCACTTAAATTTTATACAGGGTGTCTCACGTAACTGATTCGTTAGAACTTTTTTAGGTCCCACTATTCGTAGTTTTGAAAATTGGTCTGTATGGAATAATAAAAGGCGGATTATCTTGAAAACGATCACCTTTAGCGCGTTTTGATAGGCTTTTGGTTAAAAAAGAACCGAGAATAAAAATTTTTATTCAAAAAGCCAAAAGTATACTGTCAGAAAAGTTATTGTTATTTTAATCCGTAAAGAATACGTTACAGAGCTTCTATAGTAAAACGGACTCCATAATAGTCTTTCTCATGTCAAAAAACCTCCGTATACCGAAGTTAAAATCAATTACAAAATTTAACTTAAACACCCTGTATCTTTAAAACAAAGCGTTTGTCGATCTATGTTTATATGAAGTTTTTGTGCTAATTTTAAAAGATCTATCGACTGTTAAAGTCCTGCTACAAAAACCTGAAACACCCTGTATATACAGGATCTTCGATCTAAAATATTTTCAAGTTGATTGCCACTTCCGGTTTACCGGAAGTAGACCATAACTTCGTTATTTTAAATGGAATGCTACAGTTTTTATTACACCTTTTAATTGTACGTAAAAAAATATGTTGACTTTCATTAAAGTTATTGATTTTAAGTTTTTTTTTGGCAAATTTCACCTACATTTCGTGCATGTTTTAATAAATTTCCCAATATGGGGCAAACTGCAATAAATAGGTATAAAAATGTTTATAGATAATTTGTGGAGAATCAAATTCCCTTTCTGATAGGCTAAAAAAATATGGGGAGTTCCATTTAAAATTTTCGACTTTCTCGCCATTGAATATGGAGGAACAGTAATTCAATTTTTGACCACCTGTATAAGATACAACAAATAACAATCTATTTAACAGCATCTGAAGAGTAATCGTGCTAATGTAAATCTTCTTTGAATGAACGTTGGCTGAGATATGGGGTTTTAAAGAACATGTTGAAATTTACCAAAAAAAGCTTAAAACCAAATAACTTGAAAACGAAAAATGGTGGATACCAATAACTTTTATCAAAGTCAACCTATTTTTTACGTACAGTTAAACGGTGTAATAAAAACTATAGCATTCCATTTAAAATAACGAAGTTATGGTCTACTTCCGGTAGACCGGAAGTGGTGGCCATCTTGAAAATATTTTAGATCGAAAGTTCTAAATGAACAACCCATGGTACCAAAATTTCAAATCTCTACGAATAGTGGAACTTGAAAAAGTTCTAACGAACCTGTTAGGTAAGGCATCCTATATATAGGCTGTTTCTGTAAGTCTTGACATAATTTTAGTCACAAATACTTGAGTCAAAATGATGACGATTTTTAGTCTTCTGCCATCACTATTAATTCTCGTACAAGCAACAATTGTCTCCTGGAAGATATTTAGGCTTCTGTTAGCAGTATTTGGCCTTTTGCAAACAATATACAGGTGTTCCTGTAAGTCGTGGCATAATTTTAATTACAAATACTAGAGTTAAAATGATGATGATTTGTGTAAAAATTTTTGGTCTAAATCCATAAATGGCTAAGATATAGGCCATCAAAGTTAAGAAATTTTTAAACATTTTCTTAAATATTTTCAATATGGTTTGTCTTAGAAAGATAAAATTTGGCAAACAGTGCAATGTTATTATGAGAAATCGTTTAAGATCACTTTTGAAAAATATACAAACACACAAAGTTTGTTTTCTTAAAAATTTTTTATTTTGTCATAAACCATTAAATTTTCCAACTGATTCTAGGAGCCTATTTCATTTTGAAATTATTGTTACTCTGTTGTGTGTTACACTTATTTAACTTATTATAATTACCAAAGATATGTGCACTTTAATGAATACCAGTTTTCTTGTTCTTTTACAAAACATGTTGCGCTTCACGCGCCTGCGCTATTCTTAACCCAAAATAATATTTATTATAACACTACACACCTCCACCCTTAATTATAAGAAAAAAAGCTAAAATAAAAATTTGTTCGTAAATTAAATGTTTCGGCGTCACCCTGCGGCGAATAGGTCTCCATGGTGGTGTCGTTTCTACGGAAGAAGAGGAAGAAGATGCGTCAACGGTAGGCTCATCAGTAACCCGCCCCGTGGAATCCTCCTCCTTTTCCTCATTTGGTTCATTCGGCTTAACCTCATTTACAATTTCATTGTCTAGTATTTGGTTAACGTGGCGTTTCCAAATTATATTACAATTTAATAATTTTATCTTATATACATTTATGCCTAAGGCATTTAATATTACAAAAAAGATTTAAGTTTATTTAAAAGAAATCTATCAAATTATTACTCAACATATCATGAAGCCTGGATTTTGTTCAGTACAATCATTCTTCAGCATTTCTCAAATTAATGGTTATTTGTAAAAAATTCTTTTTTCTAAAAACGCAGCATCAATAGTACATTTTTCCACATAGCAACAGATGTTCAGCAATTTTAAATTCTTGTACTCTCAATAAATGGATGGATACAATTGCTGTTCATGTAGGACATGCCAAGACGTACCTTTGGATATTCTGAAATGTCTAAATTGTTGCTATCAACAGTACTAGCAGTACTACGATCTGCCACAAAATCCAAAATATTTTCTTCTAGTTGTGGTGTTTTAGAAAGTATGTACAGAAGTATGGATTTACATACTTCTGTCTTAAATTTCCTGTCTCTCGTAAATGTCTTTCGATATTTAGGAATGTTTTTCTATCAGGTTGTCTTTATTTACAGTTTGTTTCCATATGCACCCACGATTAATGAAAACATTCCAAAATCGAGGTTGTATCTTTTTGCAAAAGGTTTTAGAATCAGTTGTAAAATTTAAGGGTTTTGACATAATAAAAAAGTTTTAAAGAAATAACCTTTCCGAACATCCTGTATAGCATTGATCGATTTCTTATGATAACATTGCACTGTTTGCCAAATGTAGTCTTTCTAAGACAAACCATATTGAAAATATTTAAGAAAATGTTGAAAATTTCTTAAATTTGAAGACCCATGTCTTAGCCATTTATGGGTTTAGATCAAAAATTTTTGCACGAATCGTCATCATTTTCACTCTAGTATTTGGGATTAAAATTATGACATGACTTACAGAAACATCCTATATAAATGAAGTGGTGTAAGACCGAGTAGGACTTCAAGAGCAGCACAACAAGATCTCATTGCATATATTATATTAAGACATGCTAACTGCTGGATTTGTACCAGCTGTTGTTGTGCTGTCTTATGATTTGTTTTGGGCTACCAAACTAGTGAGGCATAGGTCTGATTATTGCTATATAGTCCCAATGAGCCATTCGTCTTGTATCTTCCCAGAAGCCTGCGTCAGATCTCATTAGCCATAACAGCCTTTTTCCTCGACTTGCCTATGTGGGAGTTCCAGTTAAATTTACAGTCTAGTATTACCCCTAGGTAGTTAACTTCTGTTTTGAGGTTAATAAAGGGATTAGAAAAGGACTATTTCCATTTTGTTTGGATTGATGCTGAGTCCATTGCTTCTGCACCAAGTGCTGGTAAGTATTAGGGATTGTGATTACCAAATCATCAGCATACCCCTGAATCATGAATCCATTTTTTTAAGGTGTTCATCAAGTCATCAACTGCCAGGCACCATAGGAGAAATGAGAGTAGGTACTTCCCCTTGGGACTCGCTTCCCAGACTAACTATGATCTGCTTCGACTTTTCAGGTGTTATCAAAAGCACTCTTTATGTCTATGAAAGCACATAGAGTTATCTCTTTAGTTGCAACTGTCTCTTCTAAAGTGCTTGTCAAAGCATTAAAAGCAGTAATTGTTGATTTTGCTTTTTGGTAAGCATGTTGACTCGGATGGAGTTGATTAGCGACAAGCACTCCATTCCTAAGGTATTGATCAATTATCTTTTTCATCTCTTTGAGGAGAAATGAAATTAGGATAATTGGTCTGTATGTCTTGGCCTTTACTTTTCTGCATAGTTTAGGTATATAGCAAAAGCTATGGCTTTTGTTACTTGGAGCAGGTCTTCTATGCCTTTTTGCAGAAAAATTAGAAATAGCCCACCTTACTCTTTTTGGTATAAAGATATTCCCACCTATGCTGCGAACCCTACCGGATGGACGAGTTATATCTATTACTTCAAAGTCGGCATCCTCAGTGTATTTTCCGTCTTGCATACATAGCCTAGATCAGTGTTATGATCTTTTTCCAAGATTCTTTTTTTGGATAATCAAGTTATACTCTAGATTTAGTGTTACTTCTAGTTTTAATTGTTATTCGGCCCGTTGAGCTGTGCACCTATTCCCAAGATATAGCAGTCCTCTTCAGATTCTACCATCCTTGATTTAACCCAAATTAATTTAATTTTTATTTAGATGTATTCAAACGATTCACGTCCACACCGATTCAGTTTGGGCTTTATTGGCAACGGAAAATTTTCAATACGTAATTTCAGGTGGTAGAGATAAAAAAGTGATAATGACTGAAATTGGAAATCAAGATAATCACGTTGTGGTTTGCGTAGAACAAGCTGCGATTATCCGGATGTGTTTTACGGCGAATCACGATGCGATTTGGGTCTCGACGTTCGAGTCTCACATAAGATGCTGGAAATTACCCACCGAGAGACATTTTAGAGGTGAAGCTCAAATGCCCCAAAATCCTATTTCGACGATCGTTGGAGGGACGGCAATAAAACAAGCGGACGTTTTAAACGATAAAAGACACATAATTACGAAAGATAGCGAAAATAACGTTGCTATTTACGATGTGCTTAGAGCTAAAAAGGTTGAGGATCTTGGTCAGGTGAATTATCAAGAAGAACTTAAGAATAGATTTAAAATGGTTTATGTTCCAAATTGGTTTAATGTTGATTTAAAAACGGGGGTAATTTTAATTAAAAAAAATTTAATTAATAAACATTTTTAATTTATTAATTTTAGATGTTAACAATTCATTTAGGACAAGATGAAGTGGATTGTTTTTCAGCTTGGGTCGCGGCGAGAGATGCAGGTCTCACTGATTGTCCAGATCTTGACCAAAAAGTTAATTATGGAAAATTATTACTTCAATCTTTACTAGATCTTTGGAGACCTGAAACGGATCCTGAAAATAAACCACATTTTCAAGTACCAAGACACATTCCTTTAATTTTTAGCGAAGTTGGTGGAAGAACTCTTTATAGAGTATTAGTTAATGATACTCCAGGCGATACCGAATCAGCTTTGCTTTCAGAAACGGTTCCAAGTTGGGTGACCTCAAATCTAGAAGATAATTGTTCGGGGAAATTCATAAAAGTGCAATTTTATTTACAACCGCATTCTAGTGTACCTTCCCACCTTCTTAAGCAACAAGATAAAACTAAAAAACCGGATCGATTGGTCGCTAATGATTTTATTCAATGTCGAAAGGTTGCTGAACACATTTTAGAGAAATTATTGGGAGAAGGAACGGCTGGATCTCCAGGAGGTGGTGATAACGACACCAACGCTTTGGCTTCTAATGGAACTAGCGTTGATCAAATTGAATTAACTTGTAATGATCAAGTTTTGGATCCATCCATGGATTTAAGAACAGTTAAACATTTTATATGGAAATCCTCAGCAGATTTAACATTATATTATAAACTGCTTCCCCCTAAGTAATTAAAAAAATTATGTAATTGACGTATCTTTTTTCATATCTAGATTTAAATTATTTAACTAAATAACATTTTTAAATGTACCCTAATTTAAATCAAATTGTAGTTATAGTATTTAGCGTTTATTTTAGTATCTATATGAAATGATAATTAATAAAATTTGACTTGATTATTATTATTTGTCAAATCATTTTATTGAAAAAACCCACACGCTATTAAAACTGTTTTGTGACGATAAGAAATTACACGAAGCCTCACAAATCATCTTGCGTGTAGTCAATTCGCATGCTGAAAATAAACGTTCATCGAAAAAGATTTCCACTTCTATTTTTCCCAATCGATTATTTTATTTTTCATTGGATGCAACAAAATTACAACTTACTTGCGGTTGTTAGTCATTATCGCCGTTATTATTTTATGAGTCGACGGATATTCAAATCAAGGTCGAAGATTACCGGATGTAATTTTGTTGTATAGTAATTCCAATCGATTTGGGTTAATTTTTTTTTATGTAAAGAAAAATAGAAAAGAAAACTTGTGTTATGTATTTTACGATAATAATTAATTTAAAGAATGTATTTCTTAGAAAAATTTTAAATTAGTTAATAAGAAATGTTACGTATGGGTTTTTCTATTGTCTTATTGTTAGTACGTTTTTTGAATTGATTTGGAATGATTTATTCATTAATTCTCGACTATATCGTAGGAATTGAATCCAGAAAAAAGAAGGAACCCAAAATAATGAAACTGCGAGCCAAAAATCAGAGAAAGATGCCAAAAAGATAAAATTAAAATATAGACGTCTAAATAGAGAGAAAGAAAGAATCAAAAAGATATTAGAAATGCAGAAGTATTTTCTGAACTAGGAAGATGCAAAACAAAGAAAAAGAAACAAGTCCCAACGAAGCCAGAAGGGAAAAGGATGACATTCAGCCAGGAAAGGAGATAGAAGAAGAAAGAAAACCAGAAAAAATATGGAATTAGAAAGAATCCAGAAAGAAATACAAATAATGAAACCAAACTACCAAAAGAGCCAAAAACCTTAATAAAATCATAAAGAATGAAGATATTGAAGGGGGCAACGAAGATTGGCAGAAAGAAGCCAGAAATAAATTAGACACGCAAATACTGGATATATACTATATTTAAAGAAAGCAGAAAATTCCGGTGAAGCCAGAAGAGAAAAAAACAATTAACTCAGCTACAGTTAAAGATGCAAGGGTGAAAGCAGAAGATGCTTGGAGAGCTAGAACTAAAAGGAAATGATTTCAAAAGATGTCCAAAAGAGTTCATACATAGAAAGAGCATCTCAGATATATAAATGAGTTAAAAGTGTACGCATTCAAAACTTGGGTTGGATTGCGTATAGTGCAGCTTCATATTGACAAAAACCTGAGAAATGCTCATCATCCATATACCTGGACCATCCTCTAACTTACTAAATTAGTTTTCATGCTCACGCTCAGGTATAACCCCAGTTTTCATACTATTTCTTTCATATTCATGACTGCTATCTTGATCTGCATCAATTTTCTTTGTTTTAAACTTCACTATCTTTGTTTTCTGGACTCTAGGTATTAGGTTTTCAAAAGATGCTGGAATCAGTCCAAAACACATCATACAGAGAAGAAGAAAGAAGTTCAAAAATCATCAAGGAGTTAGGAATTGTCAAAAAAAAACAAAACAAAAAGGGTTTGCAATCAATGGGACCAAAACGGAGGAGAAGCCAGAAAGCAGAGTAAGGAAAAAAAACTAAAAATTATTAATTGCTATTAGTTACTTGTGGAAAGATGTTTTCGGCTACCCTGAATATGCAAAAACAGATCTCAGATGTTCCACATATGTGTCCAAAATGTGATTTGGTGACGTTTGACGATGTTTTGAGTCATATTTGATATTTCTATCTCTTTTGGATCTGATAACTCCGTCAACCGGAAGAAACAAGAAGCAAACTAGACGCGCAAATACTGGAAACATACTATATTTAAAGAAATCAGAAAGTTACAGTGAAGCCAGAAGAAAAAAAACAGTTGACTCAGCTACAGTTAAAGATGCAAGCGAAAGCAGAAAGTACTTGGAGAGCTAGAACTAAAAGGAAATGATTTCAAAGGATACTGGAATCAGCCCAAAAGAGATCATGCAAAGAAGAAGAAAGAAGTTCAAAAATCTCCTTAATGATTTTTGAACTTCTTGTTGGGAATTATCCAAAAAAACAAAAAGGGTTTACAATTAATGAAACCGATCGATCTAAGCCAAAAGTAAAGAATCTAGAACTAGGTCAGGATGCAGAAAACATCACGACAAATGACAGAAAAAATTTTAAGTAAATAGAAGCAAAAATTTTATTTGAATTATTAGGTAGTTGTTCTAATTGCCACGAAAAGGCAGGCCGCAGCATCTGGAGTCCGATCAGAACTGCCAAAATGATTTGCCTTGCAGCAACCTGGATAAGAAACATGAAGAAAGAATAATAATCCCAAAAATGTCTTGAAAAGTATTGAATCTGCTTCCGGCAACCCTGAATCTGCAAAAAATTGGATTACATAACAACTATGGCATCTCAGATATATAAATGAACTAAAAGTGTACACAGAGAAGTAGAACTATGTAAAACACATTCAAAACTTGGGTTGGGGGTTGCATACAGCTCAAAATTGACAAGAACCTGAAAAGTATTATCTATTACTAGTACTCATCAACACTATTCTTGATGTCGAGCATGCAAAGATGTATAGAAACGAAAACTGCTCATCATCCGTATTCCTGGACTACCCTCTAACTTACTAAATCAGTTTTTATGCTCACGCTCAGGTATAACCCCAGTTTTCATACTATTTCTTTCATATTCATGACTGCTATCTTGATTTGCATCAATTTTCTTTCTTTTAAACTTCACTATCTTTGTTTTCTGGACTCTAGGTATTAAATTTTCAAAAGATGCTGGAATCGGTCCAAAACACATCATACAGAGAAGAAGGAAGAAGTTCAAAAATCATCAAGGGGTTAGGAATTGTCAAAAAAACAAAACAAAAAGGGTTTACAATCAATGGGAACAAAACGGAGGAGAAGCCAGAAAGCAGAGTAAGGAGAAAAAACTAAAAATTATTAATTGCTATTAGTTACTTGTGGAAAGATGTTTTCGGCTACCCTGAATATGCAAAAACAGATCTCAGATGTTCCACATATGTGTCCAAAATGTGACTTGGTGACGTTTTACGATATTTTGAGTCATATTTGATATTTCTATCTCTTTTGGATCTGATAACTCCGTCAACCGGAAGAAACAAGAAGCAAACTAGACGCGCAAATACTGGAAACATACTATATTTAAAGAAATCAGAAAGTTACAGTGAAGCCAGAAGTCAAAAGTAAAGAATCTACAACTGATCAGAATGCAGAAAACATCACGACAAATGACAGAAAAAATTTTAAGTAAATAGAAGCAAAAATTTTATTTGAATTATTAGTTAGTTGTTCTAATTGCCACGAAAAGGCAGGCCGCAGCATCTGGAGTCCGATCAGAACTGCCAAAATGATTTGCCTTGCAGCGACCTGGATAAGAAACATGAACAAAGAATAATAATCCCAAAAATGTCTTGAAAAGAATGATCGTGTTTGAGCATCAATTGAGTTAGCAAGATGTTGAACCCAACGTCGTGAATCTGCAAAAAATTGGATTACATAACAACTATGGCATCTCAAATATATAAATGAGCTAAAAGTGTACACAGAGAAGTAGAACTATGTAAAACACATTCAAAACTTGGGTTGGGTTGCATACAGCTCAAAATTGACAAGAACCTGAAAAGTATTATCTATTACTAGTACTCACCAACACTATTCTTGATGTCGAGCATGCAAAGATGTATAGAAACGAAAAATGCTCATCATCCATATTCCTGGACTACCCTCTAATTTACTAAATCAGTTTTTATGCTCACGCTCAGGTATAACCCCAGTTTTCATACTATTTCTTTCATATTCATGACTGCTATCTTGATTTGCATCAATTTTCTTTCTTTTAAACTTCACTATCTTTGTTTTCTGGACTCTAGGTATTAGGTTTTCAAAAGATGCTGGAATCGGTCCAAAACACATCATACAGAGAAGAAGGAAGAAGTTCAAAAATCATCAAGGGGTTAGGAATTGTCAAAAAAACAAAACAAAAAGGGTTTACAATCAATGGGAACAAAACGGAGGAGAAGCCAGAAAGCAGAGTAAGGAAAAAAAACTAAAAATTATTAATTGCTATTAGTTACTTGTGGAAAGATGTTTTCGGCTACCCTGAATATGCAAAAACAGATCTCAGATGTTCCACATATGTGTCCAAAATGTGATTTGGTGACGTTTTACGATGTTTTGAGTTATATTTGATATTTCTATCTCTTTTGGATCTGATAACTCCGTCAACCGGAAGAAACAAGAAGCAAACTAGACGCGCAAATACTGGAAACATACTATATTTAAAGAAATCAGAAAGTTACAGTGAAGCCAGAAGTCAAAAGTAAAGAATCTACAACTGGTCAGAATGCAGAAAACATCACGACAAATGACAGAAAAAATTTTAAGTAAATAGAAGCAAAAATTTTATTTGAATTATTAGTTAGTTGTTCTAATTGCCACAAAAAGGCAGGCCGCAGCATCTGGAGTCCGATCAGAACTGCCAAAATGATTTGCCTGGCAGCGACCTGGATAAGAAACATGAAGAAAGAATAATAATCCCAAAAATGTCTTGAAGATAATGATACTGTTTGAGCATCAATTGAGTTGGCAAGAAGTTGAACCCAACGTCGTATTGAATCTGCTTCCCGCTACCCTGAATCTGCAAAAAATTGGATTACATAACAACTATGGCATCTCAGATATATAAATGAGCTAAAAGTGTATACAGATAAGTAGAACTATGTAAAACACATTCAAAACTTGGGTTGGGTTGCATACAGCTCAAAATTGAAAAAAAAAACAAAAACCTGAAAAGTATTATCTATTACTAGTACTCATCAACACTATTCTTGATGTCGAGCATGCAAAGATGTATAGAAACGAAAAATGCTCATCATCCATATTCCTGGACTACCCTCTAATTTACTAAATCAGTTTTTATGCTCACGCTCAGGTATAACCCCAGTTTTCATACTATTTCTTTCATATTCATGACTGCTATCTTGATTTGCATCAATTTTCTTTCTTTTAAACTTCACTATCTTTGTTTTCTGGACTCTAGGTATTAAATTTTCAAAAGATGCTGGAATCGGTCCAAAACACATCATACAGAGAAGAAGGAAGAAGTTCAAAAATCATCAAGGGGTTAGGAATTGTGCAAAAAGAAAAACAAAAAGGGTTTATAATCAATGGGACCATAACGGAGGCGAAGGCAGAAAGCAGAGTAAGCAAAAAAGAAGTATTAATTGCTATTAGTTACTTGTGGCAGGCCGCAGCATCAGGAGTCCGATCAGAACTGCCAAAATGATTTGTCTGGCAGCGACCTAGATAAGAAACATGAAGAAAGAATAATAATCCCAAAAATGTCTTGAAGATAATGATACTGTTTGAGCATCAATTGAGTTGGCAAGATGTTGAACCCAACGTCGTATTGAATCTGCTTCCGGCTACCCTGAATCTGCAAAAAATTGGATTACATAACAACTATGACATCTCAGATATATAAATGAACGAAAAGTGTACGCGGAGTAGTAGAACTATGTAAAACACATTCAAAACTTGGGTTGGGTTGCATACAGCTCAAAATTGACAAGAACCTGAAAAGTATTATCTATTACTAGTAGAAGTATTAATTGCTATTAGTTACTTGTGGCAGTCCGATCAGAACTGCCAAAATGATTTGCCTTGCAGCGACCTGAATAACAAATATGAACAAAGAATCAATTGAGTTGGCAAAATATTTTCGGCTACTCTGAATCTGCAAAAAAAAAGTGCAAAGTGTGATTTGGTGACTTTTGGTCCGTAATACTGGCGATGACCCCTTTGAATGGTAAGTGCCATCTTAGAGTACGTTAGAACTACATAACAAAATGTGTCAAAATATGATTAGGTGCCGTTTTACGACGTTTTGAGTCATGTTTAATGAGTTAAAGCTATGTAAAACACATTCAAAACTTGGGTTGGGTTGCGTATAGCGCAGCTAGGTTGCATTGTCTTGCATCAATTTTCTTTCTTCTGAACATCACTTCACTATCTTTGTTTTCTGGACTTTATTAGTCTTCGTCATTTTGACATTTTTTGACATTTCTGGTGCTTTTCTCAAATTTACCTTATTTTTGGGATATCCTTTCTTATTGTTAGAGATTCTAGAATCTTTTTTTTTCTGTTTTTTTCTGACATCCTCATTTCCTTAATAAATACTTACAATTAATTAACACGTGTTAATTAATTCATTTTAAATTACTTAATTAATTTGACATCAATTTAAGTTAACATTATTTTCCTTTTAAACATGTTTATAAAAACGATTTGAGTAAAAATTTTACTTGTATGAATGAAAAGTATGTTGACCTCTAAAATCTTGTACATTTCTTATACCTTTAACTCTTTCAACACGGTAACTTGACCTATCCTATTAATTTTTTACGAAGTTATTTCACCGTTTGACTCAATTCTTGGAAAATAATTAAAATCCTTATCGGTTTAATCACGAGTGTGTAATGTTTTGTTCAAAGTCTTTGGATTTTTTTCTTAACAATACCAGTAAGTTAAAAAATTTCGTTCTGCGCAAGAGAAACGGCACATCGATTGTGTTCATTTCCACGCGCGAGTTCGCGTGCACCGAGACTATTTTGTACGAAAATCGCTTGATTTTGCGCTTACCTATACATAGAGGTGACCCTAAACATACTCTTTGCCGAGAAACCGAACAGAGTACTGGTGCACTGAAGGCTTTTATTTTCGTATACCGCGAGATTCTCGGCTGGTATTAGCTTTTGTATGACAGTCCGCGATCGCGCTCAGCTGACGAAACACCGTTCTTCGTGATAAATGTTCTTGTGACAGTGCTAAAGGTGTGTATGATTATTTAAAATTATATTAAATACGATGGAATCTTGATGGGATAGTGTAAGTTTAAAGGGATTTCGATTTGAGTTTGCAACGGGGGCGAAATTCCTATCGATTTTACTCCATTTGTGACCGCTTTTCCTAAACGCACCACCCTTTTAAACAAAAAATTAAAACATTCAATTTTATAACATTTACGTCAACTTAATTTAATATTGTTTTAAATGTATCTAAATATCGATCAAGGTTTCAAATTAACTTTGATGCAATCGTTATGCAAATTTTAGGCGTCGTTTTGTCTGGTTTTGGCATTGTTATTGAAACTCGTCCCAGAATAGATTCCTTAATAACTCCTTCGAAAAGAAATCCTAAACATTTTTCTATTTTTAAAAGACGATTTTATGGGCACAAAATTAACTTCCCGGTAAATAATGACTTCCACGTGTCCCCCCTTTTAGCGTCAAACAGTTTCTAAACCACTTCGATATGTTAGGAAATGATTTTATTATCTTAATCTGTAAAGCGAGTAATAACAGTTCATTGTTTCAAGAAGTATTAAAGTTCATTGTTGGTGACTAATACATTCTTTTCAATTAAGTTTTATGAGATAGTTATACAATTACAAAATGTGATCGTAAAAAAAGTGAAATTTAAATTTTTTCGGTTAAGTATAATATGTTTTGAAATGTATATTCGAAATGACGCATAACAGGATATTATATTTAGAATCTAGGCTAAAATTACTCAATTTACGTGGCATCATCTCTTTGTTTACTTTTATTTTTTGTTTACTTCAATTCATTTTGATGTGGAAGATACTTGTTCTTTTCTTTCTTAACATCTTATTTGTCTTCTTTGACTATTTTGGCAAGTATGCGAAGTTTTGTGTAGGCTAAATCGGAGAAAGAACATAGAATCTAGAACTAGGTCAGAATGCAGGAAACATCAGGACAGATGACAGAAAAAGAAAAATTGAAAGCAAAGAGAACGAGAGAGCCAAAACGAAGATAATTGGAGAATTATTAGTTACTTATGGAAAACCTATTGTAGAATTGTTCTAATTGTCACAAAAAGGCAAGTCGCAGCATCAGGAGTAGCGACCTGGATAACAAACATGAACAAAGAATAAGAATCCTGCTTGAGCATCAATTGAGTTGGCAAGATATTGAACCCAACGTAGTTCTAGCTAGTATTGAATCTGCAAAAAATTGATGGAATTTGGATTAAATAACAACTATGGCATCTTAGATATATAGATGAGCTAAAGATGCACGTGGAGAAGTAGAGTCTATGTAAAATACATTCAAAACTTGGGTTGGGTTGCGTATAGTGCCTCCTATATTGACAAGAATTTACCCAATTTTTAATCTAATACTTTTTGACATTTCTGCCACCTTTATTTGACCTTAATATTACATTTTGACACTGTTTAAGAGTTGAATAATGACCAATTTCTTTCATTTTGAACATATTTGGGGTGATCATAATATAAGTGATAAGAATGATATTTGTATTAATTATAACACTTTCCAGAAAAGGACATTTAAAGGATATTTATATCAAATTGAAGCCTAAAGTATCCTCTTTAAAATGATATATAACACCATATCGTTTGAATTGTCATTTTGAGTAAAAAATTGAATGATATAAAAATGTTTTTGATTCTTAAAAAAAAATTTTAGTTCAAAATAAGTTGTTATTATCAAATTTCCTCTTATCTCATTTTTAGTAAATAATACCTGCATAATCGCCATACAAATGTTATCTATCTTTTCTTATAAAACTCATTATATTTCATTTTAAACTTTGTGATTATCATAATTACTTTGATTCATAAAAGACGTTTTTTTTAATGTTTTATTAATTATTCGTTTTGTTACATGAAGGGTGTCAAAACTTTGGACACCGATATAATGGCAGATGTAAAGGATGTGAAAATAAACCTACATAGTTCCGAAGATGGGGCTAAATCTGGGGTTGGAAATGGAGGTGGAAGTGTGTCCTATCACAAAGGATACAGTTCGCCACCACCAAAAGAATTGGAATCTCTCAACAATGCCTTATGGTAAGCAAAACGGGTTTTATTTCGCATCTTTTGTTTTCAAAGAAACCGAAAACAATATCGCAAAAAAACAAAAGCCCGTTATTTTTCTTTGAGTACAATACAAGAAAGCACCATTAATCAACAATAAAAAAATTCAACCAATTGACACTGATTGAAATTTAACACCAATTGGTACCAATTAAGAATTGAATCAAATTTCATTGCGTGAGAATGAAATTATTGATTACAATAACAGGTGTTTTCTTAAACAAAATTTCTAAACATACATTTTTAATGAAATAAATAACATAAATAATTTTTTTGTAGTGGATCTCAAGGTAGTTTATGTAACGGAGCATCAGCAGTTTCAGTAAAACCTGGGGCACTTCGAAAAGTACCCAACAGCAGCCCAAATAACCACAAACGACCAATGATATCGCTCACTCACCTGCCCAAAAGACCGCCCGTAGATATTCAATTCTTAGATCTTTCTTATTCGGTATCTGAAGGACGTAAAAGAGGTTACAAGACTATTTTGAAATGTATCAATGGGAAATTTAGATCCAGCGAGCTCACAGCAATTATGGGTCCATCTGGAGCCGGAAAAAGTACGTTAATGAACATTTTAGCTGGATATAGAACTTCAAATATAAACGGGTCGGTTTTGATAAACGGAAAAGAACGAAGTTTGAAAAAATTTCGTAAAATGTCTTGTTATATAATGCAAGATGATTGTCTTCAGCCGCATTTAACGGTGAAAGAGGCAATGACGGTGGCTGCTAATTTAAAAATAGGAAAAGATTTAACGAAAGCTGATAAAAAAGTTGTTATAGGAGAGATTATGGAAACTATTGGGTTACAAGATTGTAAAAACACCATGACGACTAGTTTATCAGGGGGACAACGTAAACGTTTATCTATAGCTTTAGAATTAGTTAATAACCCCCCGGTAATGTTCTTTGACGAACCTACAAGTGGCTTAGATAGTTCATCTTGTTTCCAATGTTTATCATTATTAAAATCATTGGCTCGAGGTGGACGAACAGTAATTTGCACAATTCATCAACCATCGGCTCGATTGTTCGAAATGTTTGATCATTTATACATGTTAGCTGAAGGTCAATGTATTTATCGTGGTCAAGTTTCGGGATTGGTGCCGTTTCTGGGATCCATGGGACTTGAATGTCCTAGTTATCACAACCCAGCTGATTATGTTATGGAAGTTGCTTGCGGCGAACACGGTGATTACGTTCAAAAATTAGTTATCGCTGTAAATGCCGGCAGATGTAACAACTACATTCAAAAAACACCAGAATCTAATGGAAATGGAATTTCTAATGTTTTACCAAAAGACAAAACGACTGCTGCGACACCAAACGGTGTTAACACACAAGCTGGTGCGACATGTACAACTTCTTTACTGGATTCTTCTGAAAACTTACCGATTTCAGAAAAAAAAGTTTCATTCCCAACATCATCTTATTTACAATTTTGGATTTTATTAAAAAGAACTTTCTTCACTATTTTAAGAGATTCGACATTAACCAGGATGAGACTTATCGCACATTTTGTTATTGGTATATTATTAGGGTTAATTTATTATAACATAGGAACTAACGCAGCTAAAGTTACCAGCAACGCTGGATGTATTTTCTTTACCGTTATGTTTACTATGTTTGCTGCAATGATGCCAACGATTTTAACTTGTAAGTATTTTTTTTAAATTCCCAAATTCAATGTGATTTTAATGATGATATGTTGTAGTTCCTTTGGAAATGTCAGTTTTCATGAGGGAACATTTAAACTATTGGTATTCGGTGAAATCATATTATTTAGCGAAAACTTTAGCTGATATACCATTTCAAGTAAGTAATAATCGATATTTTCTAAGATATTTTAGTTTAAAAGTTATATTTAGGTATATAATGACTAATTTTGTGGTAAAATTCGTAATCTAGATCAAAAATCCTTTAAAATGATACCAAACACGATGGGTTTATCTTTAAATTAACCAAGATCCAATTTTTCAAGATGGCGGCTAATTTCATCTTGGTTATGTTATATTTTTCTTATTTTTAGAAATAACCCCATCGAGTTTGGACTCATTTTAAAGGATTTTAAATTTCCTACAAGATAATACTCATAAAATCAATCAACATTGATTTTTTTATTTAAAAAAATTAGGTTAGATTGAGTTAGAAAAGTATTGATTTTTAAATTTTATGTAAAAATTCGTAATCTTGATTAAAAATCCGTTAAAATGATACCAAACACGATAGGGTTAGCTTCAAATCAACCAAGATAAGATTTTTCAAGATGGCGGCGAAGCTCATCTTGGTTATGTTATGTTTTTCTTATTTTTAACAATAACCCCATCGAGTTTGGACTCATTTTAAAGGATTTTACATTTCTTACAAGAAAATAATCATAAAAGTAATCAATTATGTAATTTTTTTCAAAATGGCGCCTAAGTTATCTTAATTTTAGGATATCTTTTTTGTTTTTAAAGTTAACCCCATCGTGTTTGTACTCATTTTAAAGCATTTTTCATTTTTAATTCAAAAGTAACCAAAAACTATATTTTTATAACATTAAAAATTTGTTTCTAGATCATTTTAACGGTTAGCTTCATAGTGGGAGTATATTATTTGACATCACAACCAATGGAACCAGTTAGATTTGGAATGGTTGTAGCTATTGGGGTTTTAACGGCACTAGTTTCGCAAAGTTTTGGTTTATTAATAGGTGCAGCTTTTAATATAGAGGTAATATAAACGAAACATTAAAAAAAGTTATTTTAATAATAATCATTTAAGGCTGGAGTTTTTCTTGGTCCAATAACAACAATCCCAATGGTACTTTTTTCGGGTTTTTTCGCAAAATTAGGAGATATCCCACCTTACTTAAGTTGGTTATCATACGTAACGTACGTACGATATAGTTTCGAAGGAACGATGATTGCTATTTATGGTTTGGATCGCGAAAAATTGGAATGCAACGAGATGTACTGCCACTTTAAGTATCCAAAGAAATTCTTGGGGGAAATGGCGATGAACGACGACCTCAATACTTACCTTATTGATTTAGCCGCTTTGGCGGGGTTCTTTGTAATTGTACGGGTGTTTGCATATTTCTCATTGCGGGTCAAAATATTTACGAACCGCTAATATTAAGAATAATTAGTAGAGTAAGAAAATAATAAATAAAATTAATAATAAGAAACGTCCCTTCGTTTCTTCATCCTTTTGTGTTATTTATATTGTGATAGTATTAGGAGATTAGATTTTTTTAGCCTCACTCGTAATTTCCCTCCCTATAATCCGATATTTTTATATTTATGGAAAATATACCAAAAAAATGCGGCAATATTTTACGACTTATTATAAAATGAGATTATTAGCGTTTAAAAATCTGTAAATAACTTTTAAAAAAAATTTTTTTAAAAGCGTCACGTAATCATGCACAAATCTACTTTTATTTTATAGATTGTATCTAGATACTTTCATCAGGTGCATTTAAATATTACTGTAGTATTTGTACTAGTTACCTTCTTTTTTATATTTAAATAAAGAAAAATAATAGAAATATCCTACGAAACATTCACAATCTGTATTACGTACTTTAATAAATTTTTATTAAATGAATTTTTCGTTTTAGTTTCTTATCTATATTTTTAGTAATCACATTTTCTCTAGAACTTAACCCATCTGTATTATAATCTTATTAGATATTTGAATAACTAAAACAGAATTAACAATAAACCAAGAACTAGAAACATTCGGCTTTAACCATGCGTCCCTTAAGACGACTAGAGATGAAGGTTTTATCGCTTTTCAATTATGCACCTGTAGTATGGCAAGGTCCGTTGAATAAAAACACACTGTATAAGGTTATCCGACTCTATATGAACGTACCCCCCCGCAAAGGCCTTGCTGTGACGTCATTGGAAGAATTGACATTTCTATGTTTTTATTTAGTGTATTTCACTTAAGAAGCAATATACAAAAATATTTAAAAAAAGATAAAATAAAATTAAAATAATATTAAAATATAAAGCGAAATATTAAGGGTTATAATTTTATTATTGTTAGGTTATCCAACTTGACTCGGTTACCATGGTGATTAAGATCCGTTGCAGGTTCTTGTCAAAATTGAAATTGAATTTAAGTTTTTTTTTTAGGAAAAAGTCTTATTTAATTGGTTTAAAAGGCTGTATTTAACTCAAAATTGTTTTATCTAGGGTATTATAAACAAGGTAAGTGGATTAAATCAAAAAAAGATATTTTTAATTAGGTAAGAATTTATTTTAAGGTTATCCAACTTGACTCGGTTACCATGGTGATTAAAATCCAAATATTGCAGTTGCTTGTCAAAATTGACGTTGAATTTAAGTTTTTTTTTAATGAAAAACACATTTAATTGGATTTAAAGGTTGTATTTAATTCAAAATGGGTAAATGGATGAAATTATAGGCAAGGTAAGTGGATTAAATCAAAAGAAAAATTTTAGATCAATTAAAATGTACAAGAATTTAGAGTTAAATAACAATTAAAACTAACACTAGACCTAGAACTAGAAAGTTTTAGGTTTAGCCGGGCGTCTTAGACAAGAACTTAGAAAAGTCTGAAGACGCAGGGCTAAACCCGAATATTTCTAGTTCTAGGTCTAGTGTTAGTTCTAGTTTTACACTAGCACTATCACTAGAACTAACCAACCCCAGAGATCTTTGATAGGAGAAATTGGGACTGATTGTATGTCGAAATCCTACCGTAAGATGGCATTAGCGTCTATACTGAAATAATTTAATTAAACTAACAATTTTATTATTAATAGTGGGAATGATGAGAGAGGGCAATAACAATTATTACCAGTATCATTCTTTTAATTTAAGAAGTATAGATTCCAAATCGTGTTATATTTTTAAATTTGCCGCTAACTTCACCTTTTAAAAATTGAAGTTTGTTCAGAATGACAGATGAAAACGTTATTTTAAAGTGATTTTTCGGTAAGAGTATTAAATAATTAGATTATAATTGACATTATAGCTTTATTTCAGCTAACGTTATAACTGGTTGGAAGCTCGTCAGATGCAATCTCACATGTCATATGATGCAGTGATGATTCAAATGTGGTGGCATTATTTGACAGGTGTAATTGCCATAGGTAATTGCATCTTAGGAATTCCCAACTAGTCGGAATGTTAATTGGAGTCCCATAGTGGCTTCCAAACAGTTATTTTGTGGTTGGAGCTTTTATATATAAACCCAATCCAACCTGTATTCTAGTGGTTCGGTTCTTGGCTGAATGATTCCGAAATATCCCCAACAGATGGCGCCACATGCGTTCAATTTTTAGTACTAAGTTCTTGTTTAGAGAGTTGCATTTCTACGAAGCTATTTTCTATGGAACTAACACAACACCTAGAACTAGAAACTTTAATTTTGTTATTATATTCGTAATCTTCATATAATAACCTTTAAAGTGAGTCCAAACTTGACGCATTTATCTCAAAAAACCAAAAAGTTCGAACTTTCAACTTTTAATTTTGACATATTTGTCAAGTTCATAAAAAATCCTTTAAAATGAGCCCAAACTCGACATATCTAACTTTAATATTAATGGAAATACAATCACTTCCGGTTTGAAACGCAACGTCAATTTTGACATATTTGTCATCTTCATGAAAAAATCTTTAAAATGAGTCCAAAGATGACGCACTTATCTCAAAAAACAAAAAAGTTAGAATAAAAAACATTAAATACGAAGTTAGCAACAATGAAGATAGCAATTTAATTTTTAAATATTAATACCAACCTTAATTTTTTATTATATTTTTGTTTTTGTGACAAATATTAAGACATTTTATAAAAAATATGAATATGTCAAAATGACATTGACATTTCAAACCGGAAATTGCTTATATTTCGATTAATATTGATACGTTTAATGTCATGTTTGGGTTCATTTTAAAGGATTTTTCACGACTATTACAAATATGTCAAAATTGACGTTGACATTTGTAACCGAAAGTTGACCATAACTTCATTAATATTGAAGATAAATATGTCGTGTTTGTACTCATTTTAAAGGATTCTTAATGAAGATTACAAATATGTCAAAATTGAGGTTGACATTTTAAACCTGAAGT